TGGGGGGGATTTGGAATTTTGGGGGGATTTTTAGGGGATTTTTTTTATTTTTAGGGGATTTTTTGGCATTTTTGGGGGGATTTGGGGTTTTTTGGGTTGCTTGGGATTTTTTGGGGATTTTTGGGGTTCTTTCTTGGGATTTGGGATATTTGGGGATTTTTTGGGATTTGGGTTTTTTGGGATTTTTGATGTTTTTTTAGGATTTTTAGGGGGATTTTTTTTTATTTTTGAGGACTTTTTTGGACATTTTGGGGTTGGAATTTGGGGTTTTTTGGGGGATTTGGGATTTTTTTTCGAATTTGGGTTTTTTTGGGATTTTTGGGGAATTTTTGGGGGTGGAATTTGGGTTTTTTTTTGGGATTTGGGAATTTTTTTTAGGATTTTGGGGATTTTTGGGGGTGGAATTTGGGTTTTTTTGGGATTTCTATGAGATTTGGGTATTTTTAGGATTTGGGATTTCTTTTGATTTGGGGTTTTTTGGGATTTGAGGGGGGTTTTGGAGTCTTTTTTTGGGATTTGGGGTTTGAGGGATTTTTTGGGGGGGATTTGGGATTTATTTTAGGATTTGGGATTTATTTTGGGATTTATTTTGGGATTTGGGATTAGTTTTGGGATTTGGGATTTATTTTGGGATTTATTTTGGGATTTGGGATTTATTTTAGGATTTGGGATTTATTTTGGGATTTGGGATTTATTTTGGGATTTGGGATTTATTTATTTTGGGATCTGGGATTTATTTTGGGATTTATTTTGGGATTTGGGATTTATTTTGGGATTTATTTTGGGATTTGGGATTTATTTTGGGATTTGGGATTAGTTTTGGGATTTGGGATTTATTTTGGGATTTATTTTGGGATTTGGGATTTTTTTTGGGATTTATTTTGGGATTTGGGATTTGTTTTGGGATCTGGGATTTGTTTCGGGATTTGGGATTTATTTCAGGATTTGGGATTTATTTTGGGATTTGGGATTTATTTTGGGGTTTATTTTAGTGGGATTTGGGATTAGTTTTGGGATTTGTTTTGGGATTTATTTTGGGATTTGGGATTTATTTTAGGATTTGGGATTTTTTTCGGGATCTGGGATTTATTTTGGGATCTGTTTTTTGGTTTGGGATTTGGGATTTATTTTGGGATTTACTTTGGGATTTGGGATTTATTTTAGGATTTGGGATTTATTTTGGAATTTGGGATTTATTTTAGGATTTGGGATTTATTTTGGGATTTATTTTAGGATCTGGGATTTATTTTGGGATTTATTTTGGGATTTGGGATTTATTTTGGGATTTATTTTGGGATTTGGGATTTATTTTAGGATTTGGGATTTATTTTAAGATTTGGGATTTATTTTGGGATTTATTTTAGGATTTGGGATTTATTTTGGGATTTGGGATTAGTTTTGGCATTTGGGGTTTATTTTGGGATCTGGGATTTGTTTTGGGATCTGGGATTTATTTTGGGATCTGGGATTTGGTTTGGGATTTATTTTGGGATTTATTTTGGGATTTGGGATTTGGTTTGGGATTTATTTTGGGATTTATTTTGGGATTTGGGATTTATTTTGGGATTTATTTTGGGATCTGGGATTTGTTTTGGGATCTGGGATTTATTTTGGGATCTGGGGTTTATTTTGGGATCTGGGATTTGGTTTGGGATTTATTTTGGGATTTATTTTGGGATTTATTTTGGGATTTGTTTTGGGATCTGGGATTTATTTTGGGATTTATTTTGGGATTTGGGATTTATTTTGGGATTTATTTCGGGATTTGGAATTATTTTCGGGATTTATTTTGGGATTTGGGATTTATTTTAGGATTTTGGATTTATTTTAGGATTTGGGATTTATTTTGGGATTTATTTTAGGATTTGGGATTTATTTTGGGATTTGGGATTAGTTTTGGCATTTGGGGTTTATTTTGGGATCTGGGATTTGGTTTGGGATTTATTTTGGGATTTATTTTGGGATTTGGGATTTATTTTGGGATTTATTTTGGGATTTATTTTGGGATTTGTTTTGGGATTTGGGATTTGTTTTAGGATTTGGGATTTATTTGGATTTGGGATTTGTTTTAGGATTTGGGATTTATTTTGGGATCTGGGATTTATTTTGGGATTTATTTTGGGATTTGGGATTTATTTTGGGATTTATTTTGGGATCTGGGATTTATTTTGGGATTTGGGATTTGGTTTGGGATTTATTTTGGGATATGGAATTTATTTTGGGATTTGGGATTTGGTTTGGGATCTGGGATTTATTTTGGGATCTGGGATTTGGTTTGGGATTTATTTTAGGATTTGGGATTTATTTTGGGATCTGGGATTTATTTTAGGATTTGGGATTTGGTTTGGGATTTGGGATTTATTTTAGGATTTATTTTTGGATTTGGGGTTTATTTTGGGATTTATTTTGGGACTTGGGATTTGGGATTTGGGATTTATTTGGGGATTTGGGATTAGTTTTGGGATTTGGGATTTATTTTGGGATTTATTTCGGGATTTGGAATTATTTTCGGGATTTATTTTGGGATTTGGGATTTATTGGATTTGGAATTATTTTCGGGATTTATTTTGGGATTTGGGATTTATTTTAGGATTTTGGATTTATTTTAGGATTTGGGATTTATTTTGGGATTTATTTTAGGATTTGGGATTTATTTTGGGATCTGGGATTTATTTTGGGATCTGGGGTTTTTCCCGGCAGGTGATCCAGGCCCGGCAGAAGGAGGCTCCGTTCCTGCTGCCCGAGGAGGCCTTCGGGGACAACCCCCGGTGAGAATTCCCGGAATTCCCGGAATTTCCCCTTGGAATTCCCAGAGAATCCCCTGGAAATCCAAAGGAAAACCCGGATCAGGCTGGGAATGGGATGGGGTTGGGAATCCGTGGATCCCATCCCGAGGAATTCCGGGATTCCGGGAGGCTCCGGATCCATCCCGGGGGATTTTTATGGAATCTGGGAAAGGAAATCCAGGGATTTTCTGGGATTTGGGGTTTTTTTTTTGGGATAACCCAGAAATTCCTTCCCAAATCCCAAATCCCTCCCCGTTTTCCCAGGGAATTCCCTCCATTCCCAGCCTGGGATTGGATCCGGAATGAACCTGGAATTATTCCGGAATTATTTGGGAATTATTCGGGAATTTTTTGGAAATTTTTTGGGAATTATTCAGGAATTATTTGGGAATTACTTGGGAATTATTTGGAAATTATTCAGGAATTATTTGGGAATTATTCTGGAATTTTTCTGGAATTATTTGAAATTATTTGAGAATAATTTGGGAATTTTTTTGGGAATTGTTCTGGAATTTTTCTGGAATTATTCAGGAATTATTTGGGAATTTTTGGGGAATTATTCAGAAATTATTCGAGAATTCTTTGGGAATTTTTTGGGAATTCTTCTGGAATTTTTCTGGAATTTTTTGGGAATTATTCAGGAATTATTTGGGAATTATTTGGGAATCAGCAGGGAATTGTTTGGGAATTACTGGGGAAATATTCGGGCAATATTTGGGAATTATTCTGGAATTATTGGGGAATTATTCTGGAATTATTCAGGAATTATCTGGGAATTATTCTGGAATTTTTCGGGAATTATTTGGGAATTATTTGGGAATTGTTTGGGAATTACTGGGGAAATATTCTGGAATTATTTGGGAAATATTTGGTAATTATTCTGGAATTATTTGAGAATTATTTGGGAATTATTCAGGAATTATTTGGGAATTTTGGGAATTATTCAGAAATTATTCGAGAATTCTTTGGGAATTTTTTTTTAATTATTGGGGAATTATTCTGGAATTTTTGGGAATTATTCTGGAATTATTTGGGAATTATTCGGGAATTATTTGGGAATTATTTGGGAATTATTGAAGCCATTCCAGGATCCAGGAGGCTCCGGATCCATCCCGAGGGATTTTTATGGAATTCTGGGATAGGGAGACCCTTCCTGGAGTCCCCAATTCCCAGGGAATTCCCAAAATTCCTTCCCTTGGGATGGGGCTGGATCCAACCCCAGGCTGGGAACGGAGGGAATTCCATGGGAATTTCCCGGGAATTCTGGGATTTTTCCCGCTTTTTCCGCAGGGTGGGCGGGGCCAGCCTGGAGCAGCTGGGGCCGGAATTTTTCTTCGGCCAAAACAAAATCAGCGAAATCCTGGGGAGCTGCGGATACAGCGCCGAGAGACTCAGCGCGCCCTACGTGCCCCAGCTCTCCGGTGAGAGCAATCCCGGGAATTCCGGGAATTCCGGGGATTCTTTGGGAATTTTTGGGAATTCTTTGGGAATTTTTGGGAATTTTTTTGGAATATTTGGGATTTTTTTTTAATTTTTGGGGAATTTTTGGGATTTTTTGGGAATTCTTTGAGATTTGGGGGGAATTTTTGGGAATTCTTTGGGAATTCTTTGGGAATTTTTTTGGAATTTTTGGGATTTTTTTTGGGAATTTTTGGGATTTTTTTGAGAGTTTTTTTGGAATTTTTGGGATTTTTTGGGAATTTTTTGAGATTTGGGGGAATTTTTGGGAATTCTTTGGGAATTTGGGAATTCTTTGGGAATTTTGGGGAATTTTTTTGGAATTTTTGGGATTTTTTTTAATTTTTGGGGAATTTTTGGGATTTTTTGGGAATTCTTTGAGAT